GATTTGAATGACAATTTGATAGTGGTGATATTATTTTAGATATAACGATGAAGACTATTTTGGGCTAACTACTCACCTTTTTGTGAGGAGGATCAAGTCCTACGAATCTCGTTCCTTGGACCAATTTATATCTTCGTTTTTCTGTTTGAGAATAATATTGAAGACTATCCAAATTTTATATATCTTACTATTCAAACAATCCAATATAAAAATGTATGTGTTGGAAAAAAAAAAAAAACTAATGCATCCACTATGTGAGTCTCTTACGTTATCCATTGAAGAAGAAATAAAAGAAAAACGATATTAACCCGAGTTGAAGAAGAAATAAAAAGAAAATTGAGTCAACGCAATTAAATTACTGGATTTTGCTAATTAAAAGCTTAAAAAGTTAATGGATGTTTAAAACCAAACAATACGAGTACAGTCAATGCCTCAATGAAGATCCTACATTCTTGGGATCATTTTACTGGATTTGTTGTTCTATTTTTCGTTTCATTAAATATGTGCATTTTATTCACTCAAGTATATTTACACATTTCTATGCGTGGTGTAAATTACGACCATGTCTTTCGTCGGCAGTTTCGTGTAGAAAGTATTGTAAAAACACTAATAGAACGCAGCCATTCCAAAGTATTTCTCTATATCGAATTTTTTTACTCTTTCTATTTTGGTAGAGGAGAGATTAATCTTGTTATACACTTCTTAATGTACTTATTACATAAGACTACGATTAATTTTTAGAGAAAATTCATTATGTTAAAGTTATATGCAAAAGAGTTTCAGATTGGATACGGGAATTAGTAGAAAGCAAGGTCATTAGGCAAAAGCATCTGATATTCAAAGAAGCATCTGATAAACTTGATGAATAACTCAGAACATAACAATTAATCTAAATGCTGAAACTAACAATTCATATTAGGCGATGAGTAATTAAGATGGCATATTGAGAGAGAGCGATGACAATGAAACCATCAATCCATGTGGATTGCATTTGCATGGCTTGATCATAACCCATACCAATAACGCCTACGCAGCCTCCTAGCAGAATGGTTTGTAAAGTAAACGAGAGGTTCAAATCACGAGGTGCGAAACGAGAATTGGAGGTTACCAATTCCACCAACTAGTAAGGCCAGAGTGAGAGTAAAGGCACTCAGTGTACGATACGTTGAGGAGAAGTAATACATAGTAGCAAAAAAAAAGCAAGGAGAAAAGAGAGAGACCTAATCGTCCTAAGGAGTAGAAGGGTTTGTGAGGACGAATGAAAGGTAGCGGGATGCAGAATCCGTTAGTGCAAATGTAAGGATATAAAAGAGAGGAGAAATCGATGGGTGATAGGATCGTCTTAGGATCGATTATTTGGGAAACTTTATATAATGTTCCTAAGACCATTAAGAGATAGATACCATGAGAGACAAACCAACTCTTAGGCTGCATTGAGGCCTTATTTCTCTCAATTTCTTTCGCCAGAAAGTTGTTAGCTTGTATTAGGGCTTCACAACTTTAGGTTTTATAAAGAAAAAAGAAACACTTTTAATGAACATTGGATACACATTAATCTTTTTTTATTGCCGACAGATACAT